GGCAGAGGGTTAGGGAGAGGAAATAAAGGATGGAAAAAAAAAAAAAAAAAAAGCAAAATATACAAGACATAAGAAATGGAAAATAGTTTGTTGATAACATGTATGTTGATGTGCTTGACTGAGCCAACAGATAGTGTATTTTGGATGGAAAATTCATTTTGTATACTGTAATGATGTATAGCATATTAATGTTAAAAAAAGAAAAATTAATAAAAAAAAGATATTATTCAAATTATTTTCCCCAAAAGACAAACTTAAAACTCATATAACTTATTTCAAAAGACAGTTCCTTGCAATCCAGGCAACCTGTCTAAATAAAGTACACACAGGTCTAAAGAGAAAGTTAACTGGGAATGCAAAGAAGGAACACAGCAAGAAAAAGCCCTGATAAAGATATATCCTCCAACTCCTACCTCAAGTCACATTGGATTTTAAGCCAAAAATCAAAACAGGAAAAGGGAAAATTTCACAAAATTTTCCCACTCTACTATGACTGAAATGCTTTCCAGGATGTCTTCAATGCTACTTTAAAGAGGAAGCTAAGCAGAGGCAGGAAGGGGCTGGCAGCTCTCAAGAGAGCATCACTCCTCACTCCTGAAAGGCTGTTGCAGAGGACGAGTTTTCTGTTTAATGTTTTTTGCTTTCAGTTTGTCAGAAGGTTCATATGCTCACTGGAGACAGAGAAAGAGAGAGAGAAGAACGCATCCTCACATGGGGAACTATCACACCACAATTCCTTCTTCTTCCTCTTTCCTTCCTTTCAAGATTTTGGGCATGCACACACACGTACCCAGTGTGTTTCTCAAGCCACCAGGTCTGCACTCGAACCACATGGCTGGCCACGTGGGATGCAGCCTCCTTAACCACCAGGCCACAGGCTGGTCCAAATAGTGCGGGTTTTTAAAATTTTTTTTATGTTGCATGCCCTTGCTAGAGAGAGACAAAGAAAGACAGAGAGAGGGTAAGTAAGAAATCACTCCAAAAAAATAAAGGAAGTATGAAAATGCTAAGATTTCTTTAAATATTTATGTAATGCTTTGCTCTATCTACAAGCTAAAACTTGATAGCATAGGAAGGGGAGATGAAAAAATTTATCGGCCTTTGAAAGCAATTTCAGGGTCAGGTGATGGTGTAGCAGTAACTGGACCCACAGGGAGTGTGCCAGGCATGCAAGTGTGCCCAGAATCTAGGCTGGCTGAGCCTATGGGTGGGTTGCAATGTGAAGACTCTTGGGGATGCCTCTCACTCACTCTCATAGAAGAAAAATACATACTTATTTATATACATATAAATAAATCTATTGGGTCATCAGAAAAGAAATGACACATTTTTTGCATAGGCAAACAGAAAAAATACATCATGACTTTTCCAATAACCCAGTATTTCCTCCTATTCTGAGAATGTACATGGGTGATCTGGTTGACTGTAGCCTCAAGACTGTAGCTTCTGAGCTGGTCAGACTGTACTTCACCAGTGTCAGGTGTGTCTGAGTGGAAACAAGCACAGCACTGACCTAACAGAGCTGGGCAGTGTGTGCAATCCTGCCAAGACATGAGAGCAAGCGCAACTGATCACAAAGATACAATGGTAAAGGCTTTCTTGAAATGTTTGCCTTTGCTCCTCTTGATTTTTCTCACTGAAAAACACAAATATGAACTATTTTGTTGTTACTAATTAACTAAGGCACCAGCACATGGCATAGTAGTTAAGGTGCTAGATCCCAAATCAGCTGTTCGAGTGCTGGACCCGGCAGCTTAAATATCTTGACAGGTGCATGTGCATGCATGCCCAAAATCCCAGAAAGAAGAGTGGAAAAGGGATTGTGGCATGGAGATCCTCCCTGGGGGGGTGGGGGTGAGGGTGATTTCTCACTTTCCCTCTCTCTGGTGAGTACACATACCTTATGGCAAAAACCTAAAATAAAATAATTTAGATTTTTCTATAAATATTAGTTATTAAGTCTTAATCAGATGTGTATGTGTAAAACTGTGGAGGCCTAAGGAGCAAGGTTCCTGAAATGCTATTTCTCCTCTGGGTGAAACCAAGATTTTAAGAAAGATGAAACATCTTGTTAGGATTTGCTTCATACATCAGAAACCTCTAGAAAGTGGCAAAGAACCATCAAGAAGTCCTTGCCATACACCATTTGAGTAAGTTTCTTATTTTTTAAAATCCCCATGAGAAATGCTATAAATCTCAGGTTGAGTTGTTTCCTCACATCAGTTCAGCATGTACTTCTACATTCTTAGACTATATGAAATAAGATCAGCCATCAATCAACTTCCTGGTATGATGTCAGCTTTATTTTATGAGCTAGTACTAAGATGTCTTTGATATACTGTGTTATTTCAATAAAATGTATATTTGCTAACCTCTAAACCTTTCCACTTGACTTTGATAAACAGTAAAGCCATCTCATTACTAAAAATATATATTAGACCCATCAGTATAGAAATATTAAACATATAAATTAAAAATGCCACACTGCAAAAAAAAAAAAAAAAAAAATCTAAATACAAAAGCAACCCACTATTGGTAACTGGCAGGGTTTGTTCCATACTTCAGAAACCACAATCTTATATTAAAAAAAAAAAAAAACTGGCTTCAGTCAGGCATAAGACAATGAGAACTGGGATTTTATAGCTATGATATGTTTTTCATGTGACATCTCAGGCACAAGGCATCCTGAGAAGGTAATCTATTTTAGGCAATCCATAAGAAAAGTACAGTCAGACTAATGTTTCTTATACCTAACAACTGACCATCCACCCACCCAAGTATAGCTGTGTGTACCAGACACAGTGTTAGGCACCGGGATATAAAGATTCACAACACAATCTAGTCTTCTGAAGAGCTCAGCCTGGACCAGGAGACACAGACACACACACACACACACACACCACAGAAGAACCAAAACCACTCCAACAATTGCAACACAGAGGGAATTCTGCCTCAATCAACAATTCAGGCAAGAACAAAGCAATGGTAAAGGCTTTCTTGAAATGTTTGCCTTTGCTCCTCTTGATTTTTCTCACTGAAAAACACAAATATGAACTATTTTGTTGTTACTAATTAACTAAGGCACCAGCACATGGCATAGTAGTTAAGGTGCTAGATCCCAAATCAGCTGTTCGAGTGCTGGACCCGGCAGCTTAAATATCTTGACAGGTGCATGTGCATGCATGCCCAAAATCCCAGAAAGAAGAGTGGAAAAGGGATTGTGGCATGGAGATCCTCCCTGGGGGGGTGGGGGTGAGGGTGATTTCTCACTTTCCCTCTCTCTGGTGAGTACACATACCTTATGGCAAAAACCTAAAATAAAATAATTTAGATTTTTCTATAAATATTAGTTATTAAGTCTTAATCAGATGTGTATGTGTAAAACTGTGGAGGCCTAAGGAGCAAGGTTCCTGAAATGCTATTTCTCCTCTGGGTGAAACCAAGATTTTA